GGAGGAGCGGGGCAGTGTGGAGAGCAGCACCAGCGAGGACAGCTCCCCCGAGCACCCCTACCTGCCCCTGGTCACCGACGAGGACAGCTGGTACAACAAGTGGCGCAAGATGGAGCAGAAATTTCGCATCGTTTATGCCCAAAAGGTACTGGGAGCTGGGCTGGGGCTGGCCGGGTACCAACTCCCCCTGGATGCTCCAGCCTGGAGCATCCCCCCCGCTGCTCCTGCAGCCCGGTGGTACCCACAGCCCTTCATCCTGCTGCTGTAGTGGACCCAGCCTGCTCCTTGTCACCCTGGGTGGCCCTGGGGACGCAGGGGGCGTCTGGTGGGGGCAGTGGGGTGCTGCTGACGGCGGCCTCGTGCAGGGGTACCTGGAGGAGCTGGTGCGGCTGCGGGAGTCGCAGCTGAAGGACCTGGAGGCGGAGAACAAGCGGCTGAAGCTGCGCCTGGAGGAGGTGATGGTGCAGAACCAGCTGGAGAAGAGGGAGCTGGAGGGCGTCATCCTGGAGCTGCAGGAGCAGCTGTGAGTGGGGACCCCCGCTGCCGCTGGGCCTGGCTGGGCGCGGTGGGTGGGGTGTCCCTGGTGCCGGGCTGCCCCGTGGGCTCTAGGTGGGTGGTGGCTCCACGGTGCCCCACTGACACTGAGGGGCAGGGTGGGTGCTGGGTCCCTGCCATCCCATGTGCCCTGTGGGACGTCGTGGGTCCCCAGTGTCCCATATGCCCCACGGGATATGATGGGTGTCAGGTGCCTGGTACCCAGGTGCCCCATATGTCCCATAAGACACAGAGGATCCCAGTTCCCCAGACGCCCTGTGGGACGTGGAGGGTCCCCGGCGCCCTGTATGCCCCATGGGCCGCGTCGCTTGGCACCCATGGCTGTGTTGGGTGCTGAGCGCCCACCTTTGCTGCAGGACGGGCCTGATCCCCTGTGAGAACCCGCAGCTGGCCCAGCTCTCCAAGGAGATGGTGACGCCCCTGGTGAACCAGTGGCCCTCGCTGGGGACCCTTAATGGCAACGAGAGCGGCTCGGACAGCAAGCTCTACAGGAGGTAACCCCCTGGCAGGGGCTGAGCTGCCCCGACCCGTGTGGCTGGCGGGGCTGTCCTGGCCCTGGGGGACGCGGCACGGGAGGGCTCAGCGCCGTCCCTCCGCAGGCACAGCTTCATGAGCACCGACCAGCTCTCGGCCGAGAACAGCCTCAGCTCCGACTCCCAGCGCCTGGGCGAGGGCAAGCGCGAAGGCGAGCCCTGGGGGCCCTTGGGTAAGACCCCCCCCACTGTAGGGTGCCCTGCAGAGCTCAACACGTCCCTCAACACACACCCAGGCGTCTGGGCCCACCCAGCAGCCCCCTCCTCATAGCGGGGATGCTGTCCCAACAGTGCAAGGACACCTAGGTCCCTCCTGGAGAGGTGGTCCCCGTCCCCATCCCCGTCCCCCCGCGGCAGGGTTGGGGTGTGAGGCTGCAGCCCCCCGCGACGCCGGCACCCCGCTCTGTGCCTGCAGGGAAGGACCCCACGCCCTCCATGCTGGGGCTCTGCGGCTCCCTGGCCTCCCTGCCCAGCTGCAAGTCCCTGGCCAGCCTCAAGTCCAACGAGTGCCTGGTGAGCGACAGCACGGAAGCCAGCCCGACCCGCAGCCCCAGCTGAGACCCCCGGCCCCTTCGCCGCCCCACGGCCCAGCTGCCCGGCCCAGCGTCGCGGCGGAGGACTGACCTCGCGTCCCCCTCGCCACCCTGGCACCGACGAGGGACTCGCCGAACCCACCAGGGAGGCTGGGGACAGGCATCCCCCTCCCCATCTTGACACCCCACCCTGGCTGCACCTCGGACCCCCCAACCTGGTCCCTGGCTGAAGACCCCAACGCACTGGGATGGGGGATGCCGGAGTGGGACCCGTGCAAGCTGGGGATGGGGGGGGACGACACTGGGAGCAACTGCTGCTGGGGAGCAAGGCAGGGGCTCGGCAGCAAAGCCCCTCCAGGGGCGGGGGGGCCCGGGCACAGCCCCACATCCATCCTGCTCA